TCTGATGAGCATTTTTATGACTATTACTTTGAACCCTTTATCTAGTAGACAGCTTACCTCTGTTTTGTTTAGTTCTTTTTCTGGGGTTTTGTCTTTTTTTTTTTTTTTTATTGGAACATATTTTTCTTTTTTTTTTTTATATGAATTTTTATTTATTTTTTTGTTACAGATATTTTAACTTTTTACCCCATTGGCACCCCCCACCCCACCCCACCTCCGCCCCGTCCCCGGCTTAGTTGTCCATGTCCATTGGTCATGCATACATGCATATAAGTTCTGTGATTTATCTCTTCCCACCCCCCCCACCCCCCATCCCCTCTTCTGAGGGATGTCAGTCTGTGCCCTACTTCCATGTGTCTGGGTCTACTGTATTCCTCAGACTGTTATGTTCATTATATTCCGTATATAAGTGAGATCATGTGGTATTTGTCTTTTTCTGCTTGGCTTCTTTCACTTAGGATAATACTTTCCATGTCGTCTCAAAGGATAAGAGATCTTTCTTTCTTACCGCTGCATAGTACTCCATTGTGTATATGTACCACTGCTTTTTTATCCATTCGTCTACTGGTGGACACTTGGGCTGTTTCCAGATCTTAGCTATTGTAAATAGTGCTGCTATGAACATGGGGTACATATATTCTTCCTGATTGGTGTTTCAGACTTCTTAGGGTATATTCCCAGCAGTGGGATCACTGGGTCAAATCGAAGTTCAATTTTTAATTTTTTGAGGTAGCACCATATTGTTTTCCATAGCGGCTGCACCAGTCTGCATTCCCACCAGCAGTGTATTAGAGTCCCCTTTTCTCCACACCCTCGCCAACACTTGTTTGATGATTTGTTGATGGCGGCCATTCTGACAGGTGTGAGGTGATACCTCATTGTTGTTTTAATTTGCATCTCTCTGATGATTAGTGATGTTGAGCATTTCTTCATATGTCTTTTGGCCATTTGTATGTCCTGTTTGGAGAGGTGTCTATTCAGCTCCTCTGCCCATTTTTTAATTGGGTTCTTTGTCTTCCTTTTGTGGAGTTGTATGAGCACTCTATATATATTGGAAATTAACCCCTTATCTGATACATCATTGGCAATGATGTTCTCCCATACAGTGGGTTGCCTTTCCATTTTGATGATTGTTTCTTTTGCTGTGCAGAAGCTTTTGAGTTTGATGTAGTCCCATGTGTTCATTTTCTCCTTTATTTCTGTTGCCTTAGGTGATGTATCAGTGAAAATTTTGCTCCATATGATGTCCGAAATTTTGTTGCCTACGTTTTCTTCTAGAATTTTTATGGATTCAGGGGTCACATTTAAGTCTTTTATCCATTTCGAGTTTATTTTTGTGTATGGTGTAAGTTGATGGTCTAGTTTCATTTTTTTGCATGTAGCTGTCCAGTTTTCCCAACAGCATTTATTAAAGAGGCTGTCTTTACTCCACTGTATGGTCTTGCCACCTTTGTCAAATATTAATTGAGCGTATTGCCTTGGGTCCATTTCTGGGTTTTCAGTTCTGTTCCACTGGTCTATATGTCTGTTCTTGTGCCAGTACCAGGCTGTTTTGGTTACAGTCGCTTTGGAACATATTTTTCTTTTGCCTCCTCATTTTGCCTGTTTCTATGTATCAGGTAGATCATTTATGTCTCCTGATCTTGAAAAAGTACCCTTATTTAGAAGGTGTTCTGTAGGGCCCAGTGGTGGAATTTCCCCCTTGTCACTGGGGCCAGATGCTCCAGAGGTGTTCCCCATATGGGATAGTGTGGTCTTCTGTTGCTGTTGGGCCACAGCTGCTATGAACACACTGGCAGGTATAGCTGCTATCTGATCTGGCCTGCTGTTAGGCCTGGCTACACCTGTTGTAGATGCACTGGTGTGGAGGGCAGGCCTTCAGTGTGGCTAACTGCAAGGCCCAGCCTCAGCTTAGTTACAGACACATTGCTATGTGCTGGTGCAGACTGAGACCACCCACCAGGTGTGGCAGGGTAGGAACCACTTGGAGGGGTGCCAGCATGGGTGAGTCCTCAGGGAAACACCAAGGTAGGGTGAATAGCGTTAGCAAGGTTAATGGTGAGTATCAGAAATGGCACCTGCCAGCACTAGACCAAGTAGATGGAAGGAGAGTGAAAAAGGGGAAAGAAATGATGCCCACCAGCACTTTGGACTCTGGAGAAAGTTCCAACAGGTCCCTGTCTCTCCAGCAGATGCCCTAAAATCAGTCAATGTATCGCCTTCACATATGACCTGTGTGCTTTTCAAACTGCTGCCTCTGCTCTGGGACTCAGAAAGAGTGCAGCCTTTGTTTCATACAACCTTTGGCTCTCCCAGACCTAAGCCCTGCTGGTTTTCAAAGTCAGATGTTTTAGGGGTTCCTCTTCCTGGCGTAGGTACCCAGGCTGGGGTTTGGACTCATCACTCTTCAGGGGGAGACCACTGTAGTTGTGATATCCCTCCCACTTGTGAGTCCCCACATGGGGAGTAAAAGATAGAGTAGGTCCTAACTAGACTAAGTCTCTGCCTCTCCTACCTCTGTCTCAGTATGGCTTTTTTTTTTTTCATCTGTGGTCATAGAAAATCTATTCTGTTAGTCTTCAGGTCATTCTCAGAGATAGCTGTTCTATATGTAATTGTAGTTTTTGTGTCAATGAGAGAAGGTGAACTCAGGATCTCTCTAGTTCACCATCTTGAACCCAAAGCCAGGAGCCTTGTTCTTAAATGCCAATTTAACTTGTCCATGAAATGTTGTATCTTCTAGTTGGTGCACTGTCCCTGCAACTACTTTGGTTTTTTTTTTTTTATTCTCTTTATGTTTTAACTGTAATAAATTTAGACATAATTCCAGAGATAACCAGAAGTTTAAGACACCAGAAAATAAGATTTCATTTTAAAGGGGAATATTGTGAGTGTATTCTAGTATATTCTGCCTTGTAATCTTCCATTCAATTCTGTAGGCTTTCTTTGAAAATACTTAAAATGCCTGTGAAACCTATCCCCACATTTAATTAGCTATTATTTCATTATGTCAGTTTTACAGATAAATAACTGATTCTCCAATGATCTCTAATTGTTCTGTTATTTCTGGAACTATTTACAGCAAAATAGCAGCGAGGAGCATAAATGGCAAAGAAAACACCCTAATAACAGAGGAATCTTATTTAGTTGGTGGTCAGTACCCTTTTTTGAAAAAAAAAATATATATATATATAACCACACAGTTTTATTTCTGAAACAAGTTATCTAATTATTAGAGTTGAAGAGCTACAAACCTTGGCCTTTGTAAAATTATAATGACTTTAATAATCATGTGGTGATTAAGATCAGAAAATTAATCTATATTAGCCTGTAATAGCAATTTTCCAAGCTCTGCCAGTGACTAAAAATGAAAGTGGATTGCAGTGTCACATGGCATCTGATTAAGTTAAATTAGTGCAGTATTGGAAGGGAAGTCTCCCAGGTGACACTAAATAAGACAATCAGAGTTTTCCTCTGGCTATTATAAGGGGACAGTTAGTTGCAAAGCTACTACTTTTCCACCATAAAGCCAAAGGTCTGGCCACATGGTATCACTAATGAGTCAGAAGGAAGACTGATGGGGCTAGAGGTTATTGTTTGGAAGAATTAAGATATGTAAGTCTGGGTATGGGCTGCATTAACAGCCTGAGCATCTAAATGTGCAGGCTTGCCTTCAAACTTCTAAGATAATGTTCCAGATTTTCTCACTTCAAATATATACTTTTTTTTCATAATATTTCTAAAATCAAAGTGCATCTTAAAATTAATATATTAATTAAAGGTGTATGTTGTGTATGTGCAGGTGTGTATATAAGGACCCCCTACTCTTAGGTATTTTATACTATAAGAAATCTAAATCTATGTTTACATTATAAACTAATTTTATCTATATGAGCATCTGGGAATAACAATATAAGAACACTTCAGGGAAAAATAGGTGCTCTTTCAATATCATATGTAATAAAGATAAAAAGAGAATCTTGTTTATTGTATATTTATTTGTGTTGACTGAGTATTCCTTATCTCAATCCTAACAACTGCTATAATAAGGTAGTTATTATTATACAGGGGTGGGCAAAAGTGGGTTTACAGTTGTGAGTATATGAGACAGTTTATTCTTGTATTAGTTATTAGTTATTATAGTATGTATTTCTATTATAACTGTAAAATTGCTTTTGCCCACCCCTATATATTATAAATGGGAAAATTAAGGTTTAACATGTTTGGGCAACTTGAATTTGAACCTTATCTGAATCCCAAGTTCTTTCTACTATACCACACTGCCTCATTGGAGCATCTTAGCATAGAATAAGCTTTTTATAATTTTCTTTATAGACATATAATAGTAGATATTAAATCTCTAAAGGGCGATTCAATTCAGTCATGGAATTGTAAGTATGTACAGTTAAGTATTATTTATTTAAGTTTGCTAATAAAGAGACAAGGCATCTGTCTCCTTCTGCTTCAAATAAGTTTTTCTTAGGCATTGTTGGTTCCATTTCAGAATAAGATCAAAAACTTGAAAGAAAAGATAAATGATCATTCTCTTCACACTGAGAATATCATGTCACACAGTCTCTAAATCAACTGTTCTCAATGAAAGATGAATTGGAAAATAATATTGGGAGTTAAAATCAAAGTTGTTTTGTGCAGTTTGCCCCAGTAAGCAACCACTGGGAAGGCCAGCATCTCCAGAGACAGTATATAAACTGTCTCATATACTAATGTCAAATTGCAGCCAAAGCTGGTGTAATATTTGGCCTGCTGTTTAGTCACCATTTAAATTTCTGCAGAATCATTCTCTCATCCTCCTGTACTTTCAATATTTATTCTAAGATCCTTTGGGCATATATTTTCTACATGTCAAATACTATTGTAGGTGCTAGGGATGCTAAACTCTTTTTACTAGATCTATTTTTTTATTTCATTAACAACAGGCAACATTATCCTACAAGAATAATTTGTGGTGTTTTCATTGTTGTTGTTGTTTGGCTTTGTAGCTGCTAAATCCTGAAGATGACCTCTTACCAGGAAAGATTCGAGACAGCAATCGTTCAACCCTCTTAGCCACAATTCAGGAACATGGTTACCCCACAATCAACTTGGGAATTGTGGGAGACAAGTAAGTACTGGATTTTTTTTTAAGTTGTTATTACACAAATAAGAATTTTGGGAGTACTAACTAAGTGGGATTGTTGCTAAAGAGACAGAAATTAAATACCATAATTTTCACTTATTTCATTCTTCAGAAGTCCAAGATTTATGGAGATAAATGTGTCCATTTGGGACAGACATTTTCCTGGAATCCCTATTACAACAGGAGAAACATTTTGCTATCCTATTAAGTGCACAGGGAACTTTTTTTGATAGTGTTGTCTTTATCCTAGTGGAACTAATGGTGATAGTGTTTTGGTCCTATTCACACTTTTACTTGTTTCAAGAAAGACAAGAAAGACATGAGTGAGAAGAGTAAGAGAGAATGTCAAAATTAGCACTAACTGATTCTTTGAAGTTTAAATACAATTATTTTCGAGAGTCTCGATATTTATTTTTGTATCCTTATGTAACTTGAGTTTCTCCAGCCTTCACCCACTTGTAAGTTCAAAGGGAGGCACGTTGATGATAATTACCCACCTCTAACAGTACATTTATTAAATTAAGTGAGCCATCTGCTGAATTCCCCAGGTATTTCTGAGAATCTTCAACTGTGTGTCTTACATACAACCAAAAGCAAGTCTGCTCTTTCTGAGCACCCCGCTACCATGCAACACTGCTACTCAGCCATCTTTCAACAGGCACTATTTCCAGTTCACCAGAGGTGTGCCCACTTTTAGTAACTCCAAAACATCAGCTTGGTGGAGACAGTACTAGGAGACAAATCTGAGGGGTGGATATGAGGATGTATCTGTCATCCATAATCGTCCTCTCTCATTACCACTGTCACTGAGTGAAGCTCATTATACCTTGATCCTTCATCACTTAAGATGAATGCTTACTCAGGAATCAAATATGCTTTTAAAGAAGCTCTACCTTACCATTTCACAAGGTATTCTCTCACACCTATAAACCCCACCTTAGGCTCAAGCTGGACACACATCTTGCCAGTAACCTGAGAAGCAGTAGCTTTTGTCATATCACCTTCTAAAGTTCTCTTCTTTCCTCCGTATTTTATTTCCTTCTCTGAGGACATTGGAATAGAAGCTGTTAGACATATTTTCAAACAGCCTTCTTTTTAGATTCTTTACCACTTGTGTTTGCCTGGATATTTAGTTCTAAAGAAGTCCATAGCTAACTGACCAGCCCCCATAGAACCCATGTGGATGAAGCCAGTGTCACAGGTTACCTAATGTCACCCTGATCCCAGCTTCTAGCCCTGGGGCATAGAAAGAATCCACAGAAAAAAGGGATTGAGAGAGGAGTAGCTATTTAGATTTGAACTTGACCAGTAACCTGTCCTTCCAGGTAAACTTTAAGCACCCAAAAATTTATCCTGATACAGATACAAAGTTTAAAAAGACAAAATTTAACTTCCCAGAAAAAGATAGTACAACTCTGAGTTCCAAAAAAAAAGCAGGACTGAAACTGTATAGAGCAAACTGACCAGGTTGTTTAGGTTTTGTTTCCTACCTGCCTCTGGCTTTGGCTCTACCTCCAAGTCCATTACTGAGCCCTAAGAAATATTATAAGGGGATTCCAAAATGGCAGCAGAGTGAATGGAAGCTACACCATCTCCCAGGACCAAAGTGGAATTACAACTAAAATGAAGACAAATTGTCAGGTAAAAGCAAAATCCAGCACCCATTTCTGATAAAAACGCTCAGCAATCTGGGAATAGAGGGATCATATCTCGACATAATAAAGGCCATATATGAAAGACCTACAGCCAACATCATACTCAATGGGCAAAACTAAAAGCATTTCCCTTAAGAACAGGAACAAAACAGGGATGCCCACATTTGCCACTCTTATTTAACATAGTACTGGAAGTCTTAGCCATAGCAATCAGACAGGAAGAAAAAATAAAAGGGATCCAAATTGGAAAGGAGGAAGTGAAATTGTCATTATTCGCAGATGACATGATATTATACATAGAAAACCCTAAAGATTCTGTCAAAAATCTAAACTTAATAAATGAATTTGGCAAAGTAGCAGGATACAAAATTAATGTCAAGAAATCGATGGTATTCTTATACACCAATGATGAACACACAAAGAGAAAATAAAAAAACAATCTCATTTACCATCACAGCAAAAAAAAAATTAAGATACCTAGAAATAAACTTAACCAAAGAAGTAAAGGACCTATTTGCAGAAAACTATAGGACATTGAAAAAAGAAATAAAGGAAGATATTAAAAAGTGGAAGCACATACCTTGTTCATGGATTGGAAGAATTAACATCATTAAAATGTCCATACTACCCAAAGCAATCTATAGATTCAATGCAGTCTCCATCAAAATACCAATGACATATTTTACAGAACTTGAACAAATACTTCAAAAGTTCATATGGAACCAAAAAAAGACCCTGAATAGCCACAGCAATCTTGAAAAAGAAAGACAAAATAGGTGGTATCACAATACTGGATATCAGGTTATATTACAAAGCTACTGTAATCAAAACAGCCTGGTACTGGCACAAAAACAGGCATATAGACCAGTGGAACAGAACAGAGAACCTGGAAATTGACCCGACATTATGCTTAATTAATATTTGATAGAGGTGTCAAGAGCATACAATGGTGTAAAGACAGCCTCTTTACTAAGTGGTGCTGGGAAAATTGGACAGCTACTTGCAGAAAAATGAAACTAGACCATCAACTTACACCATACACAAGAATAAACTCAAAATGGATAAAAGACTTAAATGTCACCCATGAATCCATAAAAATTCTAGAAGAAAATGTAGGCAACAAATTTTGGACATCATACACAGCAGAATTTTCACTGATACATCACCTAAGGCAACAGAAACAAAGGAAAAAATGAACACATGGGAATACATCAAACTAAAAAGCTTCTGCACAGCAAAAGAAGCAACCATCAAAATGGAAAGGGAACCCACTGTATGGGAGAGCATCATTGCCAATGATACATCAGGTAAGGGGTTAATTTCCAAAATATATAGAGTGCTCATACAACTCAACAAAAGGAAGACAAAGAACCCAATTTAAAAATGGGCAGAGGAACTAAATAGACACCTCTCCAAACAGGACATACAAAATGGCTGAGACATGAAGAAATGCTCAACATCACTAATCATCAGAGAGATGCAAATTAAAACAACAATGAAGTATCACCTCACACCTGTTAGAATGGCCACCATCAACATAGCATCAAACAAGTGTTGGCGAGGGTGTGGAGAAAAGGGGACCCTAGTGCACTGCTGGTGGGAATGCAGACTGGTGCAGCCATTATGGAATACACTGGTGTTACCTCAAAACATTAAAAACTGAATTGCCATTTGGCCCAGTGATCCCACTTCTAGGAATATACCCTAAGAAGCCTGAAATACCAATCAGAAAGAATATATGTACCCCCATGTTCATAGCAGCACTATTTACATTAGCTAAGACCTAGAAACAGCCCAAGTGTCCATGAGTAGACGAATGGATAAAAAAGCAGTGGTACATATACACAATGGAGTACTATGCAGCTGACTATGCAGCTGTAAGAAAGAAAGATCTCTTATCCTTTAAGACGACATGGAGGGACCTGGAAAGTATTATCCTAAGCGAAAAAAAGCCAGGCAGAGAAAGACAAATATCACATGATCTCATTTATTTGTGGAATATAGTGAACATAACAGTCTGAGGAATGGGGTAGACCCAGAGACGTGGAAGTAGGGTACAGACTGACAACCCTCAGAAGCGGGGCGTGGAGATAAACCACAGAACTTATGTGCATGTATGCATAACTCATGGACATGGACAACAAAGCTGGGGATGGGGTGGGAGGATGGGGAGGAGGGTGTCAGTGGGGGAAAAAGGAGAAACATCTGTAATAAAAATAAGTTAGGAAGGAAGGGAGGGAGGGAAGAAGAGAGTGAGGGAGGGAAGGAGGGAGGGAGTAAGGTAAAAAGAGATTTTCTGGAGGTTCATTTTAACCTGAATCTGTACTGGACTATAATTCTGTCCCTTTTATTTTCTTATTTTGGTACTTTTGTATACCAAAAGAAATGTTACTTTGTATATTTCATATACTTCCATTTCCTTACTATAAAGGTAAAAATGCTACTGAAAGATTCATATATTTAATCGTCTAATATTCAGAGGCTAATATTTAATTGTCTGAGCCACACTGTTGATTTGTGGTAGACATTTCCTAATAATTAACATTGATATTGCATATAACTCCAAATGTATCTTGTAAACAACATATAAAGAACAACAAAACTATAAGCAAAATATAGGCAATTTTACGAATATACACATCTCTAGTGTATATCATTTTTCTTGAATTGAAATAACTATATAAAACTGAGAACATTTTTAAAAATACAATTGATGCAAATCTAGAAGTTCTCAGTCTAAAATACTCTGTTGAAGAGGCCCAGACTAAATGTTTGAGAATGCAGAGGCAGGATGTGGGAGGAAAGAAATTATAACCGTTCTAATGGAAATCTGTGATGGGAGTTCAGCAACAGAAACAAAGTACATTTAATCTGTAGCCTGTTGATAATCACAAAGGTTGCCTCCCTCTTTATTCTTCTCTTTCCTATGTAATCATTTACTAAAGAAAGTAAATGTTGTTATACAGAAGCCTCTACCTGAAGCTCTCCAAGGAAACAAAAAAGGTCATGAGAGAAACTACCCTGTGTTTAAAGCAGAGAAAGAAACAGCTCAAGAATGTCAGCCAGCACAGAACCCTCACTCAGCTATGACACATAAGAGTAGGGAGTAAGAGCTCTATTCTTGTATTTAAAAAAAAACAATTGGGTCTGGTTTTGGAATTTGTATGATTCTACTTGTCAAGTCTCATTCTATCACGTACTCTAATTTTAATAGTCAACGTTTAAATTGTAGAGTAAGCCTCTATAATGTATTTGGATTGAATTGGACTGAACTTTGCCTTTGCTTATTGTGTATTTTATTTTTAAAAGAGGGTACAGTGAAGATTATGG